AAAAAAAAAACGAATCATCAAGATAAGGAATAAGTTTTTAATCTATTAAAAGTAAAGACAAAAAAAATTTTTTAAATGTATTATTTTAATAAACACACCAAATTTTTAGTATATTTAATCATTTGAAATGTCTATATACAGAAACTGAACGACAATTATATTCTTGCCAATCTAAAAGATTTGTACTTATTGCTGATGAAAATACAGAAGAATTAGTATGTTATGTCAATGATACTGATTATTACAAACCAATCAGTATTTTGAAGAAAGAACTAATGTGAAGTACTGACCATATTATATTCAATCAATAAGCAGATTATATATACATAACTTTCTCTTTTGAGGGAGTGTTTCTGAAAGATGCGTGAAGATTAAGAGTTTAGAGATGAACAGGGTGCGACTGTAAACGATGTATAATATGGCCAGTCAAAGACTGAAAATCTGGAATTAATTGGAAAATAACGAAGTGGTAAAAAAATGGTCAGTTAAAAAATTAAGAGCTCGGAAATCAGTTGGAAGATGAATAAAGAAGAAAAAAGAATTGTACCCGAGGAAGAAACTAATGACAAGGAGAGACAAGAAGCAATGTAATCTGTGAACATATAATGGTTTTAGAAAACTCCAAGTCTCTTTTGGTAAAGTACTATCTATGACTAGTTGCTGTATTACAATAAAATTCTTGAATATAGAGAAATACCTCCCCGCCAAAAGTACAGTTGTAAAGTTTAGTAATAAAACTGAAAAATATTAAAACTTGGTGGATATTGTAATAGTACTCTCGGCTAAGATTAATTTGTCCTTATTTCTTGTTAAATGGTCTTTGATATTCAGAATCTGTATAAAAGAGAATCCTTAGGACTGTGAAGGCTTTATCTTGGAACGAACCTTACTGTATACTCTCTCTCTATTACTATGTTCATATTCAATAAAAATTTATTCGCAAAAGTGTCACCTCTACATAAAAAGCGCGTGGCAGGTAAATTTCATCTAAGGAAAACTGACATCATCTTTCACTACTTAGTTGTGAAAAAAGATCATAAATTATCTTTTCGTAACACTTTTAACATTTTGTGACAGGCTACAGACGTCGTTGTACATGAAAGAGTGATTAGTGGTAATAGTAATGAAAGGATAACTAAAAGAGTGATGCCAAAGAAAAACTATGCTTCTTAAAATGGTGTCTTGGCCTGTACACTTCTCTTGCGTTCATTTTATTTTTTAGTGGTTATCATGTCCTGAGTGACAATTTTCAATTTTTTTGCCCAGTAACTGGCAGTATAAGTGGCAGTACAGATATAAACTTGTTCGCTAGCATCTGTGAACGAAAAAGTATACATCTTCTTTACTACTTGCAGCTAAAGCACTCAGTGACAATAATAACGGTAGAATAAGATACTATAACAGTGCAGAAAATAGATTCGAGAAAAATTTGGATGTGGTTACAACATTGTTACAGAAATGTTAAGATGCCTTTTTCAAAAACCATCTTTGAATTTACTGAGAAGCTGTAGTCCTGTTTTAAATAGTCAACTAATATTCAACATTTTTAAATTCAAAAATTCCGAAAATTGTTTAAATGGAATGTTGGTTAAGGTATTATTGATATCTGTAAAAAGCGCGTTTAGAACGTGCTTATTTATCGTGCTTATAAGACTCAGACGTCAGAGACGAAATGTCAGCTAGGCTTCTTTTTTGCAAAGAAGAATTTCTTCAGCTTGAAGATAAAAATGAAGATTTTATTCCGTTTTCTTTAGAAAATTTTTTTTTTGAATTCACCACTTCCACTGCGCTACTGTCATAAGTCAACAGGCCGTTCTCAAAAACCCTGTAAAATTACATAACTTATCAAATGTGAACGGAAAAAAAAAGTTGGTGAGTGTTTTAAACTTGATTACAGCTCTACAACGTATTAATTAGGAAATTTCTAAAAAAAACAGCTTAGATTATTGGGCAAGTTTCTGGAAATTTCTTTACAGAATAAATTTACCTAGTTTTTGCTGCTTCTTTCTCAATGGCACTACTAATATCCTCTAAGGCCACATGATAACAAAAGAAGTTTGCGATCAATTACAGAGATCAAAAACTGAAATGAAAATAGAAAACAGCGCCAAAAAAAATACACACTTTTTCCTTATTGTTATTGAACACAATCTCACTAACACCTGTAAAGTGCAATCTTATTTTAAATGATCAACGATCTTAATTCTTCTACAAGACGGGCTTCAGCAAACAATTCTCCTGATATGAGTAACCAAATTAGTAATTTAACTGAGTCATCTTAACAAGTCGCAAAATTTTTTCATTAACTTTTAAATTACAGTCAAACCATCGTAAACCGCTCTTCCAGTCTACTGCCCTGTAACTATTACTGCGTTCGGTATTTGCGAACAAAAAAGTATTGGTACACCCTTACAGCTTTGATTTACCAAAAAAACAACATAAAACTACTAAAACAAATTTTTTAATGAAAGAATAAAGTATCGGTCTTTAATTGCAAGACTTTATTTTCTGTCAGTTCACAAAACCAACAATTAGTTTACAAAGCAAAATACAGAAGCTGTGATAGGAAGAGTTTTTGAACTTGAATTACTTCTCCAAAAGAAAACGAACCACCTCATCGTATTCCTATTACGAAAGTAAAGTATTTTGCAGTTTTCCTTGTGTACTCATCCTTTAAACATTGTCTAATTTTCCGTGGAATATAAATAATGCAGTTAATTTCTTCCATTTACATACACCAAATTGTTTGACGCTACCGAGATAAACTTCTTCACTTTTATCCTTCTCTTTGAACGAAAATGGGGATATTATTTTTTGTCCTACTTCTTACTGCTATGCCTATCAAAGAAACAGCGAATGGCAGAAAAATTGCGAAATATATGTTTAAATACTGTGCTCTATGCTTTGCTCTCAAAAAAACAAATGAGACATAGTAAATAAGATATAAAACCAAAAGTATGACATTTTTTTGTTGGACATCTGAGCGTAAATAAAAGTTATTTGATCGGCCAAAAATTTAATCCGTGAGAAAATGTCGAAGATAGATTGGAAGAATGTAAATTCATCGTGTACAATCTCCTATCATCCGTTGCTTGCTGATTTTGCTTGTTCGTATTTCAGAGGATCTGTCACCAGCCCCGTAACTGTATCTGCTCAGAATTCGCCACATTTATAGCCTCAAAATTAACGCCCAATCTTTGCCACAAAAATCTAAAATCATTTTTTCCTTTCATTTCTTCGTTTAATTCTGTTTTTACAGCAGCAGACCACTGTCAACTTTATTGTTTTACTGTGTAACAGAAAAAAGGTGCTGTGTTATTGATGTAGCAATACCACTACTGCTGATAAGAGTTCAGCACTCTTTGTTGCTTTAACTGTGCAAACACACGAAAAAATCAACAAATTTAAAATTAAAAGTGAAATTTTCTCAATGAATATGCATCAAAAAAACCAATAAAGATTCAAAATGCTTCAGTTTCTTCCAAATTCAATGCTGAGTTTCTAAAGAACTAATCTTCATAACCAGTATAGTTGGTGAAATTATCAAGCGTTAAAAACTGCAAATCTTCACCTGTAAAAAAAAAAAGCCTTCTTGTAGATTTGAAATCTTGTGCAAAATTGATGCATTTCTTCAAAAAATTCATAATAATGGTTTAATTCATCGCATAAAGAAATAACTATGATTTACAGCTCCGGTAGAGAGGAATAAAAGTTTAGAAATGCATAAAGTGTCATAATTCAAAGATTTAGTCTATCTGTTATATCCATACTTGTAAAATATGTGTCATTTTCCAGATTTTTTAATTATGCAAAATTAAAACTACAGATGTTCAAGAAACATCTATAAATCTGGTAAACCTTTAATAAATGTTGCAGTGTGCGAATCAGAATACATCAAATCTTATAAACCACTGATCTCATCACAAAACAATCTTTCACAAATCTTTTAAATGAAGCGAAAACGACAAAAAAGTGTAGCAGAATGGCTTCTTCAATTCCATTTGTAACTGAAATAACAAGTAGTCTTATATTACCGTAATGGTACGGTGGAAAATCTGACTAACCAAAAGATGGATTATTGAAGCAACGCTAACCATATCTATTTTACTTTCCTACACAAAATTGCAAACTCTGTGTTCTATTCATGCAAAATAAGCAACATCTTAGCCATCACAGTTCACCAGTTTTTCGTTCATTTTCTCCAAAATTTATTTATTGATTCACTTATTGCTCTTCCTGGAGAAGAAAAGAACTGTTTCGATTCGATACCAAAGATTTTTATCTCTACTGTCTTGAATGCCATCTTCAGCTTAAAAACATTCTGCTCCCACTATCATTTAAAGTTTGGTATGGCTTTTGAGAAGCAATATTAGACCATTTCACAAAAAACGGTACCAATAATTTGTACGAATTTCCTAAAAAAAGTAGCATTCATAAAAATTTTTGACCATGATACTTTGTTTATCTATGAAAAATACGCGTACAATTAGAGAAGATTCTTATCAGAAACTATTAACCAGACAAAAAATGATTCATTAGAAAAAAGCAAACCTGCTTCTGAATTATACTATCAATAAAGCGATTTTAAAGAGAAAAGAAAAAAAGCAGAGGAAACCATGTTTTGTTTTAAAAAAAAGGACTGCCATTAGAGTACGACTAGGAAACAGACACGCTATTTTATGCCAAACTGCAAATTAGTTTCTCAATTAACTTCTTAACCTTTTTTAAACTTGAATAAATGGTTGACGCGAACATGGATAGAATAAATCGGCTAATTCAAACAATTGAAAAAGCCACCAACGGGTGTTAGTCTGTAGCAAACTTATCGCTCCCGAAGTGAAAAAATTTTCCAGAATTTTTACTGCATTTATGTTTAATTCAGTACTGTTGTTTCAGGTAGGGGCCATTTTCCCACTGATTCCAACTTCTTGCAAAACGACAAAAAAAAGGTAAACGTGGGAAAAAAGTGATGAAAAGCATGCTGAAAAGACTTGAAAAGTGAAAAAAAAAAAGTTAAAATTAGATTTGAAAAAAGTTAGCAGAATGGTACGGTCTGTCCCAAAAGCACTGGTTTGTAGCCTGACAATTTGCATAGGTGCATGTCGTAGACGACTGCAGCCCAGAAGCTTTTCTAATTGCTACTAGCCGTTTCTATCATATCTTTTCGCTTTATCTGCAATCTATCTTTTCCTTTCGGTGTCTCCTACTTTTTAGTGTGGACATCTGAAAGAAGGTTGAGAACGAAAAGTGGTGGAAACAAAATGAGAATGATTGTTTCTCCGCAATGGTCAATGCTAGTCAAAAATCTTCACACATTCTGCATCTGCAGATTTTTGTTGAGATGCAACCACCTGCAGAATCTGGTTCAGGTTCTAGAAATGCATTGTTTTAATTAATGAACCCTCCAAAATATGACTTAAAAATTATTGTGCTGCAAGAGGCGACTAACATCTTCAAAAGAAAAAGCGCGTTTATGTTTCACACATTTCAACTTCAATCTTTAAATAAAAAGCTTAAGGATGCGTTTTTTCCTGCGCTTTTTAATTCGTTGTCCTTCTATACATTTAGTTCTCTTGTTTTCATTTGTTAACTTACTTGTAAGCAGTTTTTATAGTTGTCTATTTGTTTCTTTATTCCTCGCGAGAACTGAAGTATAGGTTTTTTTTTGGTTGTTTACTTGATTTTTTTTTTTCTTTTTTTGTTGAGTGCGTATTGGAACTTTGTGATATAAAAGTAGCATTGAATGGTTCTGTAGATGGTGGAAAGTAAACCAGAAAAGGACAGTAAGGAAAGAGAAAGAGGACGTAGAAGACAAGAGTCCTCATCAAGTTCTTCATCAGGAAGTACGACGGGTTCATCAGATGACAGTTCATCGTCAGGCTCTACATCTACATCGCGTTCAAGCAGCACCTCAAGCACAGCTTCTTCTCGTTCGTCATCAGCTTCACCAAAGAAAGCGTCATCAACAAAAGGTCGACAAATCTTTTTTTTTTTCGTTGCACTGATTAGCTTGCTGTAGTTCACTCCCTACAAGTTTTTGGTGACGAGGAAGCAAATGGCTAGTTGTTTTCAAATTTTTGTTCACTTTTTTCAACTAGTTTGAATTTTGTAGCAGGGTTCTTATGGGGAGGATCTGCTTTGAATTTTTCACTGTTGTATTATTGTTCTAGTTTCGATGGGTGTTTTTTTTCTTTCTCTATGAGTCTGCAAAATTATCTTGTAATTATGTCGAGAATGACTTTGGGAGGAGGTTTAGGGGATGTGGAGTCTGTAAACGGCTGCTGGTAAATGTTGCTTGCAGTGGGTATAAAAATAACTTTAGCGTTTTCAAAGTAGCACCCGTTACCTTCATTTTATCTATATTCTCAGTTTCTTGTATTTTAAAACTTACAAGTTTTACTTCTAGAAATTGGAGGAGCAAAGTTTGTTTTTATATCTTTTATAGTTGGTAAGGTATGGGAAACAGACTTTGTTAAGTAAATAGAAATGTTTGTTACAGTTTAGAGATAAATGGGCTATTGTTATGGATAGTGAGTTTAGAGCGCGGCAAAAGTTCAACACGTCGTTCTTCTTCACCACGTGGGGTTCGCGCGGAACGAGGGGAGAAGGCAACTGTTGCGTCTTCTCGTCGTTCTCCTACTCCAGAACGCAGGCGTCGCCGTATATCTCAGTCTCCCAAGCGACGTGGCTCTCCGTCGC